GAGATCTGTTAAAGGAAGAGGCAGAGGACTTAATAGCCTAACGCGACGTTAAGGCGCAGGTTAAAGGGGAGAGTTGTAAGGGTAGAGTTTGAACAGGTGCAGGTAAGAGGGGTAAAGGGCACTGTAGGCGCTGTAGAGAGACTGGGCACAATTTGCGCACGTGTAAGAAAGACATAGTAGACGTTAGTGATTAATATTATCTACTATAGATTGCACTGCTGCGTTGTGGTGTTAAGCAATTGCAGATAGTAGGCCTAATAGCTTGTTAGGGTGTCCGACTCGCTTAGCTGTCCGACTCGCTATACACTCACGTTACTCCTAGCACAGAAGAAGAAGAACTGCAGGACTACTATTTCTGCCCCTGGAACAAGACTATATTATACACAGCAGAGATCTCTAAACTCTCTAAAGAAGAAGAAGTAGAGCAACACAAAACGCAAATGCTATAGAGACTAGGAGACAACCTACTTGCTATCTACACAGACGCCTCCTCTATTAAGAAAGGCACAGGAATAGGAATAGGAGTTACTGCTCTAGACTATAAACAGCAGGCTAAGGAGATCTACTCTACTAAATATAATATTAGCAAAGGCTAGATTGTATACAATGGAGAGCTAGAAGGCATAACAAGAGCCTTTGAGTTTGCAGCTTCTACAGCTACAGCAGGACAAGAGATCCAAGTCTTTGCAGACAACTAGGCAGCTATTCTAAGGCTAAAGACCCCTTCTAATAACCCTAGACAAGCTTGGCAAATCTGCTGCACAAAGGCAGCAAAGGCAATTCACAGCAAAGGCGCAATAGTTAGCCTACACTAGACCCCAGGACACCTAGATATCACAGGAAACGAAAAAGCAGACGCCTTAGCAAAACAAGCTACAAAACAGCAACTAATATCTAATACTACAAGCCTTGCAATGACAGGTATTAGGATTAAAGCTATTGCAAGACAAGAGTGGCAACAGAAACTTTAAGCCTACTCTATAAAAGCAAAGCTTAGAAATCCTAGCACCTACGCAGCAAGGTTCTTGCTAAAGCTAACAAGCAAGATAACAATACTAAAAAACACTAGAAGAGAAATTACAAGCGCATACTACTAGCTTAAAATTAGACATAGATATAACAAAGCATACCTATATAATAGACAAAAAACAGAAAGCTCTAAATGCAGCTGTAGATATACACAAACACCTTAACACCTACTACTTAGCTGTAGAAACTACAGAGAAGCAAGAAAGAAAATAAAGAGCAGCCTACAGGAGACAAGGCTAACAATGCCTCTTCTCCTAGACACAAAGAGGGGAATCTAAGCTACTCTAGCTTTTATTCAAGAAACTAAAGTAGGCACGCGCAAGTGGTACCTACAGCAAACAACAGACAACTAATTTTCTTTGTCTATAACTAGAGCACAGGCTCTCACTATATGTCTACGAACCTATATATACTATTCCCTTATACAGAAAAAACTTGTAAATTACTAGAGCAGCCTCACTGCTCTCGTCCCATATAGTCTAAGACTCACACAGGACGTTAAACTAATCAATCAATTAATCAATCAATCTTCAGCTCCTTTAACAAGCTTTAAGAACCCCTCCTAAGTAGATGTTGGTGACTGTACAAAGCGCTCGCTTACAAGCTTTAATTGTGACCTAAATTCGTAGGTATTGCTTAGGGTTCTAGATTGCCATAGTGTTTCTGGTAGAGGTATTAGTGGAGGGGTATGAAATTACACTTCAAGCTAATTAAGGACTGCCTGCGCGTTAATAGGGACTAGCCCTAATGCCTTAAAGGCCTTTTTACAGTTCTTGTACGTGAACAAGTTAAAAAACGCGTCTCTAAAGGCTAGAAGGAAGCCTTCCTTGTTAATGTGGAAGACGCGTCAGCGTGCTAAGTCCTAGACGCGTTAGGAGTACCTTAGTTTTAACAGCAAGACACACACCATATCAAGTGGCTGAAGTATGTGCGATGAGTGAGGAGGCATACAGAGGGTAAGGATTCTGTTCTCCTAGCAGTAGTCCTTAAATTCCTGGTTAAGGTAGCTCTTATGGCTGTCCAAGATAAGCAGCCTGTACAACCCCCTCTAACGCGCTCTTGTATGCGCGTTAAAATGCTTCAACCACTCAAGACTAAGCACATTGTTGGTCCATCTGTTCTCAGAGACTAAGAGCTTCCAGCCGTACGGGATATTAGTCTCCTCATACCAGGCAGAGATATGGACACGCCCTTTGTAGATAATGAAAGGTGGGGTTGCATACCCAGCAGCGCAGATGCTCTGGATGACTGTAACCCACTCCCAATCACCTGGCTGAATGAGGTTTGGCCTCGTACGCCTCTCTAAGCCTGTAACAACCTTTATTAAGCTAATTACTCCTATCTAAAAGCTAATCTTATTAAAGTTGTAGATGTCCTTATCTAGGACCCTATACTTGTCTTTTATCTCCTGTACGAGCTTAAACCACGCGCTAATTACCTCTAGATCTTCCTAGAGTATTCTCTAACAGTCCTTTGCTTAATTAAAAGCTATCTTGAGCTCCTTTGTACGCGACACAAATTGCTACGCCTAGTTCTTGCTAATAGGTGTCCTACCACATAAAGCCAATAGTTTGTCTGCAATATCTGCCACCTTACACAGCTAGGGGGCAAATCCACGCAAATTAAGGTTGAGGATGTATTATACAATTATCTGCTCTTCTGTTGCAGAGAGCTTCTAGCTGTTAGGTGGTGCTTCTTGTTGAAATGTGATTTTGTTCAGCCAATTAGAGAGCCTCTAGAAAGGTACCTTAAAGGCAGCAGCAGCACTCTGTACACTCTTAAATTGTCCTAAGGTATAGGCTTAAAGCGCAAGAATAATTCTACCTTCTTACTAAGTTAATATCTGCTTGCGTTGTTGTTGCATATTGTGTTGTGTAGAAAAGTTGCAGTGCCAAGAAAAAGTGTCCGGCTCGGTGGTGTGTCCGGCTCGGTGGTGCTTTACGTTAATCAAGTATCTAATGTGCCCACGCGGATTAACTTTAAATCCTTATTTATCACGCCCTGCTGCGCGATCCTTGTCTAAGGGATACGCTCTGCAGCTATAAGTGTATATGCCACTCTAGTCTAGGCGAAGATCTGCTGTCCTTTGTCTAATCAGAGCTAGTTTGTACTATCTAAAGTACTAATAAAACTAGTAATTAAGGACTTTGTTTAGGGAATAGACTTATACTATGAAGATATGCTGCCGCGTTCATGATCTTAGGCCACAACTTAGCTGGTAGGTTGGCGCTTAATCTTATCTTGATAGATTTCGTGATTAACTCCTGGCCAGCTCTTTCTGCTGATCTATTCGTGTCGCAGCAGATATCATGCCTATTTACCAGCCAATTCAGGGGTGCAAATGTATGTACATTTTGCCTCTATTTTGGCTGCAACAGTTATGAGCCCGGACGCTGAAACTGCGCAAGCAAAGATTGAATGGATTTTCGTGTTCCATGGGTGACCACAGCCAAGGGTCTTGGCATGGTACCTGCTCTGTTGGCGTGCTATCTGCAGCAATAGAGCATTGCGAAGAAGGATTCATCTATTACTCAGCACATTAGGCATTCTGCTGCGTTGTGTCACCTCTAATTATGCTGTCCTGGTTGGACGTGAGGGGGTGTGTCGCAGCAGATATCATGCCTATTTACCAGCCAATTCAGGGGTGCAAATGTATGTACATTTTGCCTCTATTTTGGCTGCAACAATTCGGCTCATGAGTGTATAGTGGTGGCGTGAGTATAGTGATCCCCTTCTCTTCTGCCCATTCTTTGTAGCGTGATCGTCCTCTCTAGGGACGTGTTGCAGTATCGTCATCCTGTTAGATCTCTACAATATGCAGTTAGTACTTTCTCCAAACTCTAGCTTTAAATTCTTTAATTACTCTTCTAATCTTATCTAAAGATTTAGTATAGAGATTGTGATTAAAAAGCTTGCCTAAGTATTCCTCTTTAATAATCAATGCCTATTCTTCATGAAGCCTTCCTAAAGGCATATTGTTGCAGCCAAAATAGAGGCAAAATGTACATACATTTGCACCCCTGAACTGGCTGGTAAAATAGGCATGATATCTGCTGCGACATATTGAATAAATCTTATAATATCTAATAAAAAGGTTTTGGTGATCTTTCCCTTAGTCTTCTAGAGATTACTTGGCTGGCGTGTGCTGTAGAGCAATTAGGACACTCTATTCGTTTCGTGCCTTTAATCTGAACGTTTTGTGCTGCTTAAGCAAGAGCTTAAAGCGCTCTTAGCCTAAGGTGTCCTAATTGTTTGTGCTAAAGGTCCTCTAAGTCTAACCTAAATTAGGGAATTAATAATCTTGCCTTAGCTATTATATTTGTAGGATTTTAAGGATAAGATAAAACCTTGCTATATTTAATATGTAAAGTTATTGTAACAACGCTCTACGAACAGTGACCTGATACCACTAGGATACGGTTCTAGCGACTTATGACCATGGCCCTTGTCGCATAGCATAAGCTCACACTAAACTGCCACCAAACCCTTATATATAAGGAGCAAGGAACTGTAGCATTATAGAGTAGTTTTTCTGTATCCTTTTGTACAAGACCTATAGGTGTAGAGAATATATCCTAGTGTTCTTATCATCCCAGCACTCCCATATGCCTCGTAGCGGATTCACACCTATTCCGGATATCTCTCTTCTTGCCTGCGTCGATACAGCCTTGCGCCACTGTCTAAAGGTGACTTCCATGCCCTATTCTAGCCTGCCTAGGTGAACACGTTCAAAAAAAGCCTTCTATTAAAGGCCTTTACAGCTACTAGTATATCACCTATAAATCCTAACATTATACTTAGTCATATGAAGCCTTACATTGTTGATTTTTACTAGTAAGATCGACTGAGCGGCTCGCCCGTGAGGTATGTTATACTAAAACAGGAAGCATAAGAAGCAACTAAATAGGTAGTAAGACCTGCAACAACACTTAGAGTATTATGAAGGTGCAATAATGTAGTTCCCTTAGTCCCTCTGGGAGGCGCGCGCTCGCATGGCTGTTGCAGACCACAAGAGGCAAGAGGAGGAGCTAAAAAAGGCGGAGACAAAGGAGCAAGCTGCTGCTAATAAACTCTACAATGAAAAGATAGCAGAAGAGAAGCATGAGCAGCGGGCAGAGAAGAAGTCAGCGAGAAACCAGGCTAAGGCAAAGGAGCGAGCAGCCATCGATGCTCCCAAAGAGCAAAGACGCAAGGATAAGGAGGCCCGCAACACTAAAAAAGCTCTTAAATTATCCCAAAGAGGCAATTGCACGTCCTCAAAAGCTTCTGCAGTTAAACAGAAGAATGTGCGTCGTGCTGTGGGTGCTTGTAGTCACCCCAAGCCTGTGACGCCACCTCTACCACGCCCAACTATCACCACACGCATCGGCCGCACTGCCACTAAATATTAGTAATTTTGTATGAGAAACTTTGTTGCATAGGTCTATAGATTAAAGCACCAAAAGCTCCCACGATAATAGCTATTGTATGTGGCTCTACAGCCTCACTTTTACGGTGGCCGTGCAGACTCGGATCGTGCATCGGTTGACTCCGTGCATTGGGTGCACGGATACGGTACCGGTACTTGGGTTTAGCGCTGATGTACAAGTTAATGCGCAATCCATTCCCTGATCACGATGTTGTGATCTTACATTCCTAAGCGCATTGCGACATTACGCCGGAACCCAATTCTGGCGCTTCAGTCTTCAGAAGAACTTCAAATACTTACACATCCACAATCGCATGTGCTCCAAGTTTCAACGACGCTATGATGTTCCTAGGTCCATTCCGGCACTCTTCACTAAGCAAGCTGGGCTCAGTACTACTCGCTTCATATATTTGCTTTCACTGGCTCTTGCAGCCTGTAAAATGCCTACCCGCGAACCGCGACGTGTCCTACCGCATAAGACGTCTTGAAGGCGTGATAATTAGGAGTCAAATGGGGGGTCTTGTCCAGGAGATGGTAAGAGCAATCCCTATGGTATGTCAGCGAGAGCAACGACATGAAAGCCTCTACGGCTAGACACTGAATCGTTGTTCAGACTCAAGCTCTATTGCACAACAGTTGACGCGGACTAATGATCTCATAGACACCAAGCAACTCATCCGTCCCTGGGTTCTCGTATCTGGGTTGCTTTACCGATTCGCAACCATCCAGTCTAGTGTTACCGATTACTACTCCAAGATTTCTTCTCAACGGCATTTCTTACACATCTACCACCGGTATGACCTGGGCTGCATGTACTCAGTACTGCTCCAGCTATCAGTATGCGGGTATATCGGCTGGATCAACGTGTAGATGCGGCAATTCCTTCACCTTCTCCCAAGGTCTTTCCTTAGATTCATTATGTCAGGTACCGTGTAGTGGAAGTAGTTCACAATCGTGTGGTGGAAACGTGCGGTCCGCAGTCTTCTTTAACTCCAATTTTGGCGGCAACAGTTCCCCAGCAGGATCGTCATCATTCGTACCTATCGCAATACTGCCCACATCAACACCTCTGCTACAATCTTCGGCGTCGGCAATCTTGACGTTGGTTGCATCACTTGCGTCCGTGTCTGCCTCGGCCACTTTTGTATCTCAACCTTCAACAGTCAGTCCATCGGCAGCACTTCTACCCGTTGTAGTCGCACCGCAATTGGGTGGGACCGGTTCGCTGCCATCCTTAGCCGTCTTCCTATCAGCACTCGTCGCAATTTCACCCAGCGCATCCTCGATCCATCCTACAGCCGACGTAGCTCCCACCACCTCGCTTACTTCTGCTTCGGCAAAAGTTTCTGCAATGCAGCCAACAGCGACGTTGTCGTTACCCATCTCGCCAGACCCGTTGCCGCTCGCTCAGGTGTCCAATTTACCTCTTCTGATCTCACAGGGCTCATTAAATGGGCTAGTTTTACATAGCCCTTCTCCATCGTCGGTGCAACCTGCATCGATTCTTCCACTGAGCAGTGGTTCACCGGCAGCTTCTCCAATTGTGGCTTTTATGACGGCCACTCAATCCACGACGTTTCCTCCTGGTCTCCTCGGCCAGTCGGTATCACCTACTTTGGCAGTCCCTTCCGTCGTACTACCGGTGACGTTTACAACACTCCCGACGCCATCGAGTCCTGTGGTTCTTGGTTCACTGGCATCCGTCACCCCCTCGCCAACTCTCATCTCATCTACCTCGCTGAGCAATGTTCTGATGAACGGATTACCGTCACTTCCTTTGCTGGAAGCGGCCCCATTGCTTTCTTCACCTTTTTCGGGCGTGTTTTCGATCGCAGGTCTACCTCCCGTGCGGGCTTCATCGCCAATAATGGCACCATCCCTAGTTCAGCCAACTTCGAGCAATCTCGGCGGAGTGATAGTAACGGCGGTTCCGTCGCCGACTCTATCGACTGCACGTTACCAACCTCTCAACCCAGAATCATCGTTCTCAGCATTAGATACAAAGGTACCAGGGTGGGATTTCACCGAGGGTTTGGGGCCTCATGGTCTGCCTACTCCGACAGCATCTATAGCAGCCCTACCAGCACTACCAGCACTACCAGCACTACCAGCACTACCAGCACTACCAGCACTACCAACACTACCAGCACTACCAACACTACCAGCCCTAACATCACTACCAGCACTACCAGCCCTAACACCACTATCAGCACTTTCAGTTATAGAAGAAGCCAATCTGCTTGCTTCGACAACAATTTCAAGCCTTGGACCAGTTTCCGTGACGAGGCCTACAACTGGTACTCTAGCGGAGTTTACAGCATCTCAGGTAATCGATTCGGGTACTGTGGTGGATAAGGCCTTCAATTGGACGTTGTATTCGAACGGGATTGCGCAGGTCGACAGCACATTTCTTTCCCCTGAGATAGGTCCCATACAGGCTTATTTGCCTGATGGTACGCGGATAGGTATGGATAAAGCGGGACTGTATATCGGTTGGTATCATCGCGTCCCATATCCGCCTGAGTTTTTGCAGATCATACAAGGCTATCCATTGCCTCCACCACAATTTTTTCTATAAATTACCAAGGCGTAACGAGGTCTTTTTGTCGCTCTGATGTATGGAGCATGCGAACTGCCTGGCATGCGAAGTTCGAGCCGTGAAGACGCTATAGCTTGGTTGTTTTCTGAACGTAGTCCTGTTGTTCACTCAGACATTGATCGCATAATCCTCCTTGTCAACGCAGTCGAGCCTCAATAAAACCCGTTTCTCATGTATGCTATGCGCAATCTGATGCAGCAGATAGGGACTCCCAGTCTTCCGCAGTATCTTCCATCCATCCGATCAAAGTCAACATCAACAAAGTAAGTCGGCGGTACTAGATTTCTTCGGCGTGTTTAAAAGTCACCTTCAGCACATATGGGGGCTATGATATTCGTGAAGAGCGTCAAGGAGGAGGGCGATCAGGTGTTAGCCGCTAGGCTCTTGCGCGCTGTAAGAGGTGCATAGAGACTGGGCATAACTTGCGTACGTGTAAGAAAGATACTTTAGATACTGCTTAATCTACATTATCAATATCTATATATTACTCTACAAGGTGGTTGAGATATACACGTGTAGAGGTGCGCATAGTTGGTGGGGTCCGTCACTTGCTTGTACGCGTCACCTGCTTGTAAAGCACGTTATGCTAGCAAATTTTGTCAGGCTGGGCATGTGGCAATGCCACCTCTGACCCATGACACCAAGGTGTGTCTTACAATATTACTACTGTTCCGGCATATGCTCACCATCAGTGTGAGCCATGTTACCTTTTGGTTTGCTTGTCTCAGTGGCCGGAGCTGAGGCTTTACAGGTAAGGTAGGGTTGGGTAGGATATAGTCATGTGATTTGTATGTATAGGTAGGGTATCGTAACACGTGATAGGGGTAATTGATTGATTGATTGATTGATTGATTGATTGATTGATTGATTGATTGATTGATTGGTTTAACGTCCTGTGTGAGTCTAAGCCTATTTAGGACGAGAGCAGTAGGGCTGCTCTAGTAATTTACAAGTTATTCTGTGTAAGGGAATAGTATATATAGATTCTTAGACATATAGAGAGAGCCTGTGCTCTAGTAGTAAACATAGGAAATTAGTTTTCTGTTTTTTACTGTAGGTAACGTACCCCACGGGCGAGTCGGACACACTGTAACAGAGTAGGCGCCCTGCCCATGAAATCAATACTACGTGACTTCTCTGCCTATACCAAAAGGTAAGCACAAGAATACTTAAGCAAGTATTCGTTGCGTAGTATAATATATATAGACAATAATAGTGCTAGCCAGCTAGCTTTGCCTCTAGCTGCTATGAGCGCTATGCCACGTGTCGTGTTCGTGCATAGTCGTTACACACACGGGCGAGTCGGACACTTTTGCCAAGACCCTACTAAACCTCACCCTATTATGGCCTAAAACACCACACTCTAGCGCTGCAAGGTGCAGTACAGCTTAGAGTATTATTTAGAGACTACTTCTGCATTATTCTCACAAATTCGCGCGTTGTGCCTAGTCTAATTGCACTGTCTACAGTGTTGTTAGGAGGGCTTACCCCACTTTAGCGTGCACCTACTTCTTTAACTTCTTTCTATCACTACATGCCCTAAACTCCTTTAGGGCTGCTATCTGCTGCCCTTACTTAACTATAAGGGTCCCTTTATTCTAGATTTGCTTTCTTTTGCGCAATTTACGTTCTGTGGCAGCTACTAGAGCTGTGTAAAGCTTAGCGTTCTCCTGTTGCGCTAAAACTAGCTTATGTAATAGAATTGCTCCCCCCTTTGCGTAGTGCTTAAGCGCGCTCAGCATAGAATTAGGTAAGCTACCCTACTACTTCTTATACTTCTCTTAAATTAGAGTTAATTGCAACTAAAGTTCTAGGGTATTGCTATAGGTTTACAACTACTAGGGCTTATTATTATTAGGGAGTTGTAGTAATAGAGTACGCAGCTTTATATTAAGCCCTATTATAACCTATTCTAGGTTAAAGGGGACTAGTATAGTGCCTTAGAACCCTCCTTAGATATTACTTAATGTAAATATAGTATTATAGGCTACTTTAAAGTAAAGTAGGAACTTAAGCTTTATAATAAAGTTAATCTAGTTATGTATAAGGTCTTTAGCTTAGCGCCTATACGCCTTCTTTAGAGGGGCAAAATAGCCTTTATTAAGTAGCTGTAGGAGTTGTAATAAGTGCAGAGGCATATATACAGTAATAATCTTATTATCTATATAGTATTCCTAGAAATCTAGTAAGCTATAGCTCTTAACGTACCTCACGGGCGAGTGGCCGGCCCGGGCGAGTGTCCGGATTTTGCCAAGACCACACCAAACTTCATACAACCCGCGATGTCTCAACGCAAAAAGGCTCAAAGCGTCTCAAAGGAACCAGATATACAGCTTGCAATCCAGGCTCTTAAACAAGACGCGACTCTTACTATTCCACGCGCTGCAACAATCTACAAGGTGTCAGAAAGAACGCTAAGACGACGACGTGCTGGAACGCTCTCAAGACGCGATTGTAAGGTCAACTCAATGAAGCTGACAAGCACTGAAGAGGAGGTGATTGTGCAGCATGTTCTGAAGCTGGACGAGCGAGGATACCCACCCCGGCTTACTGATGTGGAGGATATGGCCAACTCTCTACTCACTGAGCGCCACCAGCCTCCTGTTGGCAAGAACTGGGCTAGCACGTTCGTCAAGCGTCGCCCAGAGCTCATAGTCAAGTTTAATCGAAAGTACGACTACAAGAGAGCCCTCTGCGAGGATCCTGAGGTGATCTAGGGCTAGTTCCGCCTGGTGGAGAATACCAAAGCCAAGTATGGTATCCTAGATGAAGACACCTACAATTTTGACGAGTCTAGGTTCATGATAGGTGTTATATCAACAGGAGCTGTTGTTACAGGCTCAGAGCGTCGTGGAAGACCAAAGACAGTACAGCAGGGCGACTGAGAGTGGACCAGCATTATCCAGGGTATCAACGCGTCAGGATAGAGTATCCCACCCTTTGTTATCTTCTAAGGCAAGCACCACCTCTCTGCCTGGTACAAGGAGCTGTCTTTACCTCACAACTGGGTTATCACTGTCTCTAAGAACGGCTGGACTAATAACAAGCTTGGTATTAAGTGGCTGAAGCACTTTAATAAGCACACAAAGGAGCGCACTGTTGGCAGCCATTGGCTGCTCATTCTGGACGGCTATGAGAGCCACAATTTAGTTGAGTTCTACTAGTACTGTGAAGAACACAAGATTGTTACCTTGTGTATGCCTCCACACTCATCGCACCTGTTGCAGCTGCTTGACGTGGGTTGTTTTGCCCCAATGAAGAAGGCCTATGGTCGCCAAGCTGAGCTGCTAATGCGCAACAAGATTACTCGCATCACAAAACTTGAGTTTTTACTGTGCTTTAAAGGAGCTTTTAATGCCTCTATTACTAGGAGCAATATCTAGGGAGGATTTAGAGGTGCTGGCTTAGTCCCCTTTAATCTAGAGGCTGTAATATTAAAGCTTGAAGTGCGCCTGTGTACTCCACCACTACCTACTGTGGATGAGAGTACGTGGCACTCTCAAACCCCACAGAACACCCTAGAATTTAGGTCGCAATCAAAGCTTATTAAAGAGAGGATTTAACAACATGGCAATAGCTCTCTAACTTTAATGGTTGATGCTCTTAATCAGCTCACTAAGGGCGCAGAGATGATGGCGCATTTACTAGTTTTAGTGCGCAACTAGGTCGCAGAGCTTCAAGCTGCTAATGAGGCCGCCACACGCTGTAAATCACACAAGAGGAAGCGGATCTAGAGGGAGGGGACTCTTACTGTTAGTGAAGGAGTGCGCTTAACTACCCTAAAGGAGTTTGAAGCCCGTGATGATGGGAAGAAGGCAAGCAAGAAGAGGCGCGTTGAACCAGGCACTCAGTCTTTACGACGCTGTAGCAGGTGTAGTAAGGCAGGGCACAACGCGCGAACGTGCATAAAAGATGCGCAAGATACTGTAGATTAGTGCTGTATACTGTAAGTTACAGTAACTTGCAGTAACTTGCTGTAATATGCAAGACAAGTTGAAGTTTGGTGTGGTCTTGGCAAAATCCGGACACTCGCCCGGGCCGGCCACTCGCCCGTGAGGTACGTTATAAGTATTAATAACTAGTACATAGTAGCTACTAGCAGTACACTTCTTTGTATACGTGTTAAAGTACTTTAACTAGTTAAGACTAAGTTTATTAGTAGTCTAGCTATTCTTAGAGACCCTAATAACCTAATTACAGGGTAGATTATCCTCTTTGTGCTAGTTTAAGAGGTAGTTATAGCACTAGAAGATAATAAAGGGCAGAATAGCCTACTCTTTAGTATTAATGCCCTTAATAACTATTATCTACTCCTAATTACCTAGCTTGACCTACTTTAGTTGTCCTTCTCTCTTTAAAGCTGTAACAACTGCTCTAGTAGATATGTAGCCTATTATAAAGCCTGTCTTATTAAAGTTGTATGTGTTGTTATCCTAGATGCTATACTTAGCTTTAACATTAGCTACTAGGCTAAACCAGCCCTAGATTATCTTAGGATCCTTGCAGAGGGCTCTCTTGTAGTTATACTTGCAATTAAACTTTACTTTAAGCTCTAGTTAGCGCTTAATAAACATACTAGGCTAGTTTAGGCTAACATGGCCTAGACTGCGCTTAGCGCGCAAAGAATTGGCCATATCAGCCACTGCTGCTAGCTAAGGGGAAAATCCTTGCAGGTCTAGCTTAAGTATATGATTAACAATCACCTGCTCCTTAGTATTAGTTAGGCTCTGTAACTTGGGCATAGAATTAACTTGTAAAGGTAGTCCAGCGCGTTACTTGCTTAGTGTCTGTAGGGGAGCTCTATAGATAGCTGCAGCGCGCTGTAGAGAGAGAGTCGCGTCTTGTTTAAGAGCTTGAAGCGCAAGCTGTATCTAAGCGTCTTTTAACGCGTCTAACTGGCTTTTGTGGAGAGGCATTAGTGTCGTAAGGGTGTTTTGGTAGGGTCTTGGCAAAAGTGTCTAACTCACCCGTGTCTCCGACTCGCCCGTGGGGTACGTTACTACTTGTGTGTGCCTACTCTAGTCTCTTAAATAAAATCTAGTGTAGCTTGGATTCCCCTAATTGTGTCTAGGAGAAGAGGCATTGTTAGTCTTGTCTTGATTAATTGATGTCGCAGCAGATATTATGCCTATTTACCGGCCAATTCAGGGGTGCAAAAGTATGTACATTTTGCCTCTATTTTAGCTGCAACAGTTATAAGCCTAGACGCTGAAACTGCGCAAGCAGAGGTTGAATAGATTTTCATGTTCTATGGGTGACCATAGCTGAGGGTCTTGGCATAGTACCTGCTCTATTGGCGTGCTATCTGCAGCAATAGAGCATCACAAAGAAGGATTTATCTATTACTTAGCACATTAGGCATTCTACTACGTTGTGTTACCTCTAATTATGTGCTCCTGGTTAGACGTGAGGGGGTGTGTCGCAGCACATATCATGCCTATTTACTAGCCAATTTAGGGGTGCAAATGTATGTACATTTTGCCTCTATTTTGGCTGCAACACAATGTAAATAGGGTAGTCTTTAGGTAGCTTCCTAGCTCTAAAGGCATACTTTCTTAGAGCAGTATTTAGTGTTATAGCAGGGGGAGGAAGTGCTGCTTCTGTCTCCTGTGGTGCTATAGGAGAGGTCCTAAAGGTTCCTAGGATTTTCCTTTAGGCAAGATTCTGCAATCCTTAGAGCTGCTTTGTTATTCCTGCTTGTTGTTTCTAGAAGACCTGGCAACCATAATTTGCGATGCTAGAATCGCATGCTATATATAGCTGTCTTACAGCGCTAGGAGGGAGGCCTCTGTTGCTGTTTGCAAGTCTGCACATTCTATAGAAAGCGTTATTTATGGCCTAAGAGGAATAGAGGAATCTTTTCAAGGCAAATGCTCAGCACTAAGAGAAACTCTCTTCCCTAGCCCTCCTGCTTCTAGGCCTATAGAGTAGAACAACTACTAACTAAGCAACTAGGAATAGCCTAATCTTACTATAGAAGAGCTAGAATACGCTTGCTTAGCACAAATCTAAAGCAGCTCTCCAGGACTAGACGCCCTAACACAAGAGAATATTACTGCAGCATATAAAGCACAGACAGAACTTTTCTTCTTTGTTTTCTCTACTCTGTTTAACTACAGATACTACCTACAGGAATAGAAGAAAATAACAGGAATTATCCTAAAAAGGCTAAACAAGCCTAATTACGCTGCACCTAAAGCCTATAGAGTAATTGCCTTGCTTAGCTGCCTAGGCAAGGTTGCAGAAAGAGTAGTAGCAAAACGCCTTAGAACTCTTGCAGAAACAACAGCTCTTCTTCACCCCTCATAACTTAGAGGGAGAGTACAGAAATCTGCAATAGACATATCTATATTGCTGCTGAACTAGGTCTAAGAGCAAAGAAAACTAAAGCACACAATATCTACAGTATTCCTAGATATTAAAGGTGCCTTTAACCACGTTGCTCTAAACTAGCTACTTGCTATATTGCAACAACAACAACTGCCTTGCAATTTAATAGTATAGGTTTAATTATTCCTATCTAAGCACTAGCTAAGACTATCCTTTAATGGAGAAATAGAATGCTTTAGCAGCATTAAAGCAGGAATTCTACAAGGCAGCCCTGTCTCACTAATCCTATTTCTAATCTAACGTAAAGCACCACCGAGCCAGACACACCACTGAGCTGGACACTTTTTCTTGGCATTGTGAACACCATGTACGGGACAAGCAATTACTTACTACTTGCTGCAGAACCTGCGTACGACGCACTTGCATCAGATGCAGACTCTTCTTCTGCATCTTTCTGGCACGTACGAGCGTTGTGCCCAGTCTTCCCACGGTTGCCACAGTGCTATTGACCTGGCTGTGCTCTTTCTTGACTACTACTACTACTACCACGCGCTTTCTTTGACACTGTACGAGCTGCAGCTGCGCTTCTAGCTACTAATAATGCTGCTTCACTATACTCTATTGTGCCCCTATGCTGGATCTGCTTTCTTTTCTAAGTCTTGCGCTTTGTTATCTCTGCTAGTTGCTCTTCAAGCTCCTATACACAAGCCTTAATAAGCATATTTTTATGTAGCATCTTGGTGTGTCCGGCTTGGTAGTGCTTTACGTTAATTAGTAGTAATAACTAAGAGAAAATTGTGTAAGAGAAAGTAGATTTAGCATAGTGGCACACTTAAGTATAGCCTAGCAGCATTGTGGGTAGCTGCTAAGGCGTCTGTAGCAGCTCAGCCATCTAAGAAGACCTAGGGTAGAGGTAGTTAACTAGGAGCTTAGTTAACTGTTCAGCGCTGTAGGAACTGCAGCAAGACTAGTAGACACAACACACAAACGTGCTAGGAGGGTACAGAAATATCTTCTAAATCTAATACAAGCACGCAGTATACTAGGTCACTATTTAATAGTAAGTAGTTATAACGTACTCTATCACCGAGCCGGTCATATCACCAAACCAGTCACTTAAAATCCCACCAAAAACACAGAAACCATACCCCTGCATCTTAATAACCACTTAATGAAATCTTCTAAAAACTTCAGAATAGAGCTGTATCTATACTAATAAAACTATTTAAAAGTCTTAGACTAATAGCTAGTATAGATGTTGAGATAGCCTGCAGCTACCCCTGTATTTCAGTATCTTCTAAACAACATCTGCAATATAGGGCTAAGCACTCTAAGACTTTCAAACAGTCTTATTAGTATAGATGCAGCTCTATTCTAAAGTTTTTAGAAGATTCTATTAAGTAGTTATTGAGATGCAGGGGTATGGTTTCTGTGTTTTTTGGTGGGATTTTAAGTGACCGGTTCGGTGATATGACCGGCTCGGTGATAGAGTACGTTAGTTATAGTAACTTGTGTTAGTTGTGCTAAGATAAAATAGCTAGTTTAGTGATATAGCTAGCTTGGTGATAATCTATGTTATATTAGACAATTGTCTGCTCTTTAGTTGCAGTAATCTTCTAGCAGTTTGCGCTTACGTTGAGTTAAAATAGAGTATTGTTGGCGCGTTTAGAGAGCCTGCGCTAGTTAACGTTAAACGCAGCAACAGCAGCCCAATGGCTCTAAAACTGTCCAGTATTATAGGCCTAGAGAGCAAGCTGCAGTCTCCCTTTGTGATGAAGTAATAAGTCGTGATGTTGTTAAGACATACTGTGAAGTGTGGAGTTGTGTTAGTCTTGGCAGATTTTGACTGGTTCGGTGATATGACCGGCTCGGTGATAGAGTACGTGTCGCAGCAAGGATCGAGGTGAGGGTGCATGTCACGTGATCCGCATCTGGATATTGGACCGATCAGACACTGGCGATTGACCACGCCATGGTGAGCGGAATCGGGTACAGCTTGGAGCCGTGATTAGGGCTCCAATTAAGGTATAACGTAGATTATCACCGAGCCGGCCATATCACCAAACTGGCCACTTTCTCTTGGCACGACCACCTTTTACCCTAACACAACATGCCTTAACAACAACAACTTCAGAATACTACTAGAGAAGGCAGAGTTATCCTTGCTATCTAGGCCTTCTATGCTAGCTAATTTCGCAGTATCTGCAGCGCTGCTAGAGTGTTGAACATACCTTATTAGCAGGTCTCTAATCACCTTTGCAATATTACGTTTTAACTAGATATACACACTAATTACTAGAAACTTACTATACTAGAGGAGCAGATAATTGTCTAGTATATACTTAACCTTAATTTTTAAGGATTTGCGCCCTAGCTATATAAGGTGGTAGATATAGCTAATAAGATACTTAGTGTGCGTGGTGAAGAGCCTGTTAGCAAACTATAGGCTAGCAGGCTTGTGACGCGTTCAGACAAGCTTAAAATAGCCTTTAATTAAGCCAAGGATAGACAGAGGATACTATAGGAAGATCCTAAGATAATTAGCGCGTAGTTTAAGCTAGTAGTGTAACAACGCTCTACGAACAGTGACCCGATACCACTAGGATACTGTTCTAGCGACTCATGACCATGGCCCTTGTCGCATGGCATAAGCTAACACCAAACTGCCACTAAACCCTTATATATAAGGAGCAAGGAACTGTAGCATTATAGAGTAGTTTTTCTGTATCCTTTTGTACAAGACCTATAGGTGTAGAGAATATATCC